CTCCCTGTGAGACAATCTGTCTATGTTCTGCCTATGGCTATAAAGAATTATTGAAAAAGAGTCAATATAATTTCGTATCATTTCATTTTCATAATTTCTAGCGTGACCCAAATGTTACCATTTGTTTCTCGACGAAAATAATGGGAGCTTAAAGAAAAACAGATACAATTCCAACTAAGTTGATCTCGGTAGCTCGAGCCGACATTGCTGTGGTGTACAAGAAGCTTAATTTATTCATCGCTGTTTAAATATAATCGTAGGATCGCGGCTAAGCTGGTTTTATCTTGATTACGTTAAACTTTTTTGAAATAAGTATTTTATGGTGTTTTGTTATTTCCCCAAGAAATTGTGCCTTTCTTTACAAATTTATATACAATTTCAAATTAACAATGTCTGTGCAAATTAAAAATAAATAGAATTTTATACATTGTGCTAGGACTCTTTTGCTACCTATATGTAAGAAACAACTTATCTTTTTTCGGCTGCTAAACTGCAACGTAATACGCACTCCTTTTTTCTATATTTTAACTGGTAACTGGCTGGTGGAAAAAAAAGAATATATTATACCTACTTACATAGTATTTAAAAAGAGAAGGATTTGGTAAGAAATTAAGAGCATGGGGCAATTTTATTAACTTTTGTAATACCGGATTACAATTTCTATTGCGGAAATATCCCGACTGAATCTGGGATGACTGGCCGTCTTATTCATTACCGCTATTTATCCTTTTATAAACTTATGTTTTATAACTTATTTACCGTGTAGCGGCGGTGCTAGAATATCTACTACCCTATATCATCCCGTGGGTGTCGTAAGAGTCGTCTTCCTAATAACAACTTAAAATAAAAACTGCGGTTGCTAACCCGGTTGCCAATCGTGGCAACTATGGCAAATATCCCCTTATGAGGCAATATATAGGGAGGCCTAAGTTCATCAGTGGACTTCAATAGGTTGTAACGGTAAACTTAAACAATTTGTAACCTTTTATCAGTAATTACAAGCTCTAATTAGCAGTATTATCCTGAGTAGTGGCTGCGTAAAGCAATCCAATACTTACCCCACATCATTGCTTGTTGCAAGAGGCAACAGAAGGAAAGCAAGTCCACTGCTGAACATAGGCCTCCCCCAAAGAACGCCACAAAGCACGGTCCTGAGCCACCTGCATTCATCGACTTCCTGCATGTCTTACCAGGTCGTCACTCCATCTCGTGGGCGGACGCCCTACACTTCGCCTCCGAGCATAGCCCTCTCCATAGCTCGCTGAGCGACCTTGAGCTTTCTCATACGGCCAGCAGTGAAGGACCACGTCCTTCCACGAAAAACTAAACTTATTCCTTAATCAGACTTGCAAAGGCGCCTGTCATGGCATTTACGGCAAATATTTCTAACTTAAAATAAGCCTATTTCCAGCAGTATTTACGTGCTATATTAACATAATACTAATCTTTATATATTATAAAAATTACGTGTGACGTTGTTTGTACGCGATGAACTCCTAAACTACTGAACTGATTTCAATGAAATTTTGCACACTCTGTGCAGTTTCGTCCAACTTGAGAGATAGGATAGTTTTTATCCTGATAGGTGACACTCAATATTTTTTTATTACAAATTTAAGGATTTTTTATATGAAGGGTCGCCGAAAAGGGTAGAACAACGTCTGCCTGGCCAGCTAGTAATACTATATATTGTTACTTTAAAAACTCAAGACATTAATGAAATATGTGCAGAGATGGAACAGTTGGCTGATAGAAGTCCCTTTTGGACAGCCTTGGCAAAACACTTTAATAAAATTAAGAGTTTGGAGAAAAGAATAGAAAAAAAAAGAAAGAGCAACAAGTTAAATACTTGCGGTACTTACCTCTTATTTATTGAAAATATTATACCAATTTTACTTGTGAAGATGTAGTGACAAAAATTGAGAAAGGTATGCTGAGATGGTTTGGCCATGTCGAGAGAATGAATGAAGAACGATTGACGAAAAAAATGTATAAGGCGAGTGTGAATGAAAGTGTTGGAAGGGGTAGATCTAGGCGGACGTTTCAAGACCAAATCAGGGACGTCTTGAAAAAAGGCTAGCTCAAGAGTACCCTAAACCGAAGAGCATGTATGAAGGAAATAATGAAAGTGGACGAAACGAAACAAGTATGTAAGGATCGTAGCAAGTGGAAAGAAGTGGTCTCTGCCTACCCCTACGGGAATGAGGCGTGATTATATGTATGTATGTTATACCAAATTTCATTCTGTTCATAAGTGGTGCTTGTAAAGGTAGCCTTAGTGCCCCCTCGAACCTTGCGCCCTAGGCTTGAGCCTAATTAGCCTCAGTCCCTGTTGATATCATTCCTTGGGTTTTGCAAGAGGCAACAGAAGGAATGGTAAGCTGCAGCATCTACCTGATATCATTTTTATAAAAAAAAAATCTGCGGATGCAAACTCGCCAGTAAAAGCAGCAACTATGGAAAATAAAGACCCATTTTACTGGAAAAGAGGCATTCTATCTTAGTCCTCAAGGCTGACAACGCATCTGCATTTTAATTCGCAAACGAAGATAGATGCAGATGTCTATGGGCCACAGCAACCACTTACCATCAGGTGGACTGTGTGCTCGTTTGTCACCCTAATTCTATAAAAAAAAGAAGAAAAAATAAAGACAATAAATAAGTTAATCCGACTTGCAAAGCCGCCTGTCTTGGCATTTACGGCAAATATTTCTGACATAAAATAAGCCTACGAGTATTTCCAGCAGTATTTACGTGTTATAACTTATAATAACATAATATTGTGTGTTTTTATTATTTTAAAAACTCAATACACTAATAAAATATTAAGATCTCATCAGAGCATGTTAAATTTTAGTGCTATAGGTAGCATTGACTGATTATATGAGTAGAATTAATGTACCTAATTAAAAAGTGAAACTGCCCGTTTGTTAATCCTGTCTAGCCAGAAACGCAAATTCAGGAATTTGCATTTAGGAAAAGACAAAACTAGGGGTTTTTTGGTGCAAATTAGGGCACCTAAACTTAAAAATTAGGTGCTCTAAAATTTTCACCCCAATGAACTTTTGAAATTTGCGTTGCTGGCAAAACGTATTGCTAACAACACAGTGACGATAATAGATACACGACAAACATGTATTAATAGCAAGAAATTAAGTACTAACTAAGTGCTGCCAGTATAAGCAATGACAAGACGCCCCTAATAAAACTAAAGTCGCGTTATTCAGAACAAAGCAGATGCAAAAATCAGGTCTTCTGAAAATCTTCTGAAAATGGTAAAACTATAGACATTCGGTACTTGCGTACGGGGCTGGGGTGGGGGGAGGGTTCTGGCGAAGCCCCCTAACCTTCTTCCCTTGCGGAAATGTATAGTTTAGAAGTAATATTATTTTTGTATATTCATAACCTCACTTTTTTCACAGGAATATTGACACAGTTACTTCTGCAACGGCTTCGGCGCTGCTGAAACTGCAGCGCCTTCGCCCTTAACAATAAAAATGTTGCTATGTGTGGACTTTAAGGCATATTTTACATCACAAGTGAAAAAAGATTATTCTTAAAAACATTATTCCATTAAAATTAACCAAGCTTAAATACCTATATCCAGTATGTTCATTGTGATCCACGTAAAGCTTTAGCATAGCAAATACTATTAAATTTGCTTGCGTTGTACAGAAACGCTACATTAAACTGTTAACGTATAACCTACCATAAGATGGCAATATACGAAAATTCAAATTCCTCTATTCGTAATTATCGTAAGAGATTATTAAAGAATTAGAAACAGCCATTTTACCCAGTGGTCCTACCAAATAGCATAGCACCGACTTCTGAAGACTCTAGTTTAAATTTACTATCTACTATGTATGGACGAAGACAAAGACAAGAAATAACAAGAGAAGTATACTGTCAGTCCATTGTTTTCGCATAAAATGTGGTTAAAAAGATATATATATATATATATATCTATACTAATATTATAAAGCTGCAGTGTTTGTTTGTTTGTTTGTTTGTTTGTTTAAACGCGCTAATCTCTGGAACTACTGGTCCGATTTGAATGATTCTTTCAGTGTTGGGTAGTCCATTTATCGAGGAAGGCTATAGGCTATGTTTTCTTTTTTCAAAATTAGGGATCCGTAATAAAATTGCTATTTTGTAACACAAGGTGTAAAATCGAAAACCTATTTTTGCGTGCGCTGCAAAAACTATTGACAATAAAACAAAATGATGTGCTACGGGTTTGTAGATCCCATTAAGACCTACAAAAAAGTCCGCGAGAACATGTATCTAGCTATCATGGTTTAATCACAATAACCGATTTTGTGTTCAAATTAATTATTAAATCGTCTGAAGAAAAAAAAACTACGTGAAATATGTATCGTAATATTAATCTTTATCGAAATTAAGCATTATGTTATCAAGAGTATTTATGTAGAAGTAAAATACTTTTTGTTTCATCTCAATCGGATATTTCGTTTAAAAGTTATCACGTGTGTAAGATGTTAAGAGTTGGTACCTATTAATGAGTTATGGACCATAGAGTTTTTTATCAACATAAAAATCCTGTAATAATCTTTTTCGAAATATAGTAAGTAAGATCTTTGAAGAGTATAATAAATACATTTCTAAAATAACTCTGCTAAGGAAATCCACGCGCGCTTGATGCAAGCAAGACGACGGCGGCGCGGCGGCGGGCGAGACGAGGAGGCCGCGCTTGCTGGCCGTCTGTCGCTCCCCCCCCCCCCCCCCGCCGCGCCGCCCGCGTGTTTTGGTTTACAAGGTACCATGCCGCGCGGCTCAGACGCGTGGTCGGCTCCCTACGGAACGGTTGAATGCAGCGTTGCGTTTTTTGAAGTCATTTACGATCGTTCCTTTGACATATATTTCATGCGACTTTTAATAATTACTCACCTTACGTTTCTTTTACCTGATTACTACGTTTCAGTTTATTTTAATTAAGTTTTAATTTTATACGGTTTTTCTTTTATCTCTTTACTATTATGCCTAGAAAAAGAACTCAGCTTTCTAGGCAGACTGCTACTGCAAAGCGATTGCGACTTCTACGCAGCAATGAAACACCCGAAGAAAATCTGCACAGATTGGCTACTCAACGAGCGATCAGTGAACAAAACCGTTTAAGGGAATCGAGTGTTGAACGTTCGCAGCGGTTAGTCTCACAAAATATCCGTACTTCGGCGAATCGACAACGGGAATCAAGTGCTGAACGTTCTCAACGTTTAGCCGCACAAAATTCCCGAACTTCGGCAAATCGCGAGCGGGAATCAAGCGCTGAACGTTCTCAACGTTTAGCTAAACAGAATTCCCGCACTTTGGCAAACCGGCAACGGGAATCAAGCGCTGAACGTTCTCAACGTTTAGCTACACAGAATTCACGCACTTCGGCAAACCGGGAACGGGAATCAAGTGCTGAACGTTCCCATCGATTAGCACAGCAAAATGCACGAACAGCAGGGAACAGAACTCGCAGGCAATATAATTTATTGAATTCAGCATTTGCTTATGATTATACCCTTGACTATGCTGAGCTAAATGGTACTAATATTTGCAGAATGAATAAAATATGTAATTCATGTCAAGCAAAAAAATGGCCGGCTGAAGCTCCTGGACTGTGTTGTAGTGGTGGCAAAGTAAATATTCCTAAAATTCCAGCACCAACGTCAATTCTTAAAGATCTAATATCAGGCTCACACCCATCTTCTAAGCATTTCTTAAATCACTCTAGACAATATAATACTCTGTTTCAGATGACTTCATTTGGTGCCAAAGAAATTCGTGAAGGAAAATTTATGCCCACTTTTAAAGTCCAGGGGCAAGTTTATCATCTAATCGGTAATTTACTTCCACCTGTAGGCGCACAACCCGAATTTTTGCAAATATATTTTATTTCCCATACAGATCAAGTATCTTTACGCTCAAATTTAAACCCAACGTTAAAAACCGATCTTATCGACGCTCTCCAAACATATCTTCACGATCACAATACTTATATTCAAAGTTTTAAATATAATCTCGAAAACAGACCAACGAATGATTTTAAACTTATCATTCATGCTGATGTGAAACCTCCTAATGAACATCGAGGTCGATATAATGCGCCCATGGTAGATGAAGTAGCTGTTCTTTTAATAGATGAAGACAAAGGTCCCCGAGATATAGTGTTAAATACCAGAGACGGGCGCCTTCAGCGAGTTTCTGAAATACATAGATCTTATGACCCACTTCAATATCCTTTACTGTTTCCCTTTGGAAATGACGGATATTGTATAAATATTCCACAGCAAAATACTGCTGCTAGATCTAAAACTATATCATGTATGCAGTTTTATGCATTTAGACTCATGGTGAGAATAAATGACTTTAACAGCATACATTATTTCAAAGGATTATTTAATCAATACTGTGTTGATATGGCGGCAAAAATGATTTCTGAGAGGCTTGACTTCATAAAACGAAATCAAAAAAAATTAAGAGCAGAAGAGTACATTCATTTAAGAGATGCCGTGGTTAATGATGGCAATGTAGACGCTTCTAATGTTGGCCAGCACGTTATATTGCCATCGTCATTTACAGGATCTCCTAGATACATGAATGAAAAAAGTCAAGATGCCATGATCTATGTTAGGAAATTTGGAAGACCAGATCTCTTTATAACATTCACATGTAACTCCCAATGGCCAGAAATAAAAATTGAGTTACTACCCGATCAAAATTCTTACGACAGACATGATTTGATTTCTAGAGTATTTCATTTAAAACTAAAAAAAATGATAGACCTATTAACGAAGAAAAATATATTTGGACCATCGAAAGCCTTCGTTTATAGTGTAGAATGGCAAAAAAGAGGTTTACCTCACGCTCACATTTTGTTGTGGCTGGCTAACAAAGTGCAACCGGATTCCATAGATGCAATAATATCGGCTGAAATACCTGACAAACAACAAGACCCAATGCTTTATAACATTGTCATAAAAATATGATACATGGGCCTTGCGGATTTTACAATCCTGCGTCACCATGTATGAAAGAAAACGTTTGCTCTAAAAAATACCCCAGGCAGTTTATTTCTGAAACACAAACCGGGGATGACGGTTACCCAACCTACAAGCGCCGTTCACCAGATAATGGTGGAAACACCGCAATAGTTCGTGTCAAAGGTACAGAAATGAGAGTGGATAATAGGTGGGTTGTTCCCTATAACCCTGTGCTATCACGAAGTTTCAATGCACACATTAACGTAGAGTTTTGCCAATCGGTCAAAGCCATTAAGTACATCTGTAAATATATCCATAAAGGTTCTGATTAAGCCACATTTTCGTTACAAAATAATAACGATGAAGTAGAAAAATATTTAAATGGTCGCTATATAAGTTCCTCGGAAGCACTCTGGAGAATTTTCCAATTTCCGATTCATGAACGTTTTCCGGCAATAGTTCATTTAGCAGTTCATTTAGAAAATGGACAAAGAGTTTATTTTTATAATAATGAAAATCTTCAAGATCGCGTCAACAATCCTTCATCAACGACACTTACAGCGTTCTTTGATCTTTGCAAAAGAGACGATTTTGCCAAAACCCTTTTATATCACGAAGTACCCCAGTATTACGTATGGGAAAGAAATTCATTTTCTAGAAGAAGACGTGGACAAGATGTTGAAGGATATCTCGGTATAAAAAAAGACTCAACTTTAGGTCGTGTCTACAACATTCATCCGACACAAACTGAATGTTACTATTTAAGAATGTTACTGCATCATGTTCGCGGTCCAATGTCATTTGAACATCTAAGGACAGTAAATGGTGTTATTTTCAATACTTATCAAGGAGCTTGCAAGAAATTTGGTTTACTGGAGGGAGATGAACATTGGCAAAATACTATGTCAGATGCTGTCATGTCCGAGCCGGCTCCAAAATTAAGAGAATTATTTACCATAATCCTCATATTTTGCCAACCATCTGATCCCTTGCAGCTATGGAACAAATTTCGGGAAGATTTGTGTCAAGATATATTATACAGAATGCGTAATGAGACCCAGGATATGACATTAGCATATAGTGATGACATATACAATGATGGACTTATCATAATTGAAGATAAGATTCATGAGATTTGTGATAAATCATTAACTGATTTTGGGCTTCCTTCAACAAAAAGGAATAACACACACCATAATTTGGATCCTTTAGAAATAGCATTGCGGAAGCCATACGATGTAAATGAATTAGATGAGTATATTACTGTAAATGAACCCAAGTTAGTTAATGACCAGGTGATGGCATACAATAGTGTATAATATGCACAGTGTTCGTTTCAATGAGGGAAAAATATTTTTTTTTTGGATGCTCCAGGCGGAACCGGCAAAACTTTCATTACTAATTTGATATTAGCAAAAGTAAGGTCTCAGGGAAAACTAGCTTTGGCAGTAGCGTCATCTGGAATCGCTGCAACTTTATTAGCTGGTGGACGCACAGCTCATTCCACGTTTAAACTGCCCCTAACCGTTTCGTTACAGAAAGATAGCGTGTGCTCTATTCGTAAAAATGGCCCTTTAGGAAAAGTTTTGCAAGACGTCTCTTTAATAATCTGGGATGAATGTACCATGATTCATAGAGCTCACGTAGAGGCTCTAGATAGGACTCTTAGAGATATTAGAAGCTGTGATAAAATCATGGGTGGGATTACTGTCATGTTTGCTGGGGATTTTCGGCAAACTTTACCAGTAGTAGTAAGAGGAACTAGAGCAGACATTGTAAAATCTTGCCTCAAAAGTTCTCCATTATGGAAATTTGTTCATACCTTAAATCTATCTACGAACATGAGAGCACATTTGGGGGGAGGTAGTACAAATTTTCCTTTGAAGTTACTTTTAATTGGAGACGGAAAAGTACCTCATTTTGAAAATAAAATACCTATTGATCGAGATTTAGGAGAAAAAGCGACTAGCATTGAGAGTTTAATATCAAAAGTTTACCCAGATATCGTCGAAATAGAAAATAAAGATTATCAATGGATGTGTCAACGAGCAATATTGGCGGCAACAAACAGTAGTGTTGACGAAATTAACGATTTAATTTTAACTAAACTTCCAGGGGATATAGTCACCTACACTTCTATTGATAATGTAATGGATCAAGAAGATGCAGTCCATTATCCACAGGAATTTCTTAATTCTTTAAACCCGAGTGGCCTCCCCCCACATTCTCTCAAGTTAAAAATTGGTGCCCCAATTATTTTACTTAGAAATCTTAAGCCACCAAATTTATGTAACGGGACTCGACTTCAGGTTAAATTTCTTCGCAATAACGTGATCGTTGCAACAGTTTTGACTGGTCCAGCGGTTGGTCAAACAGTACTTATACCTCGGATCCCAATGATTCCAAATGATTTGCCTTTTCATTTTAAAAGAGTCCAATTCCCAATTAAATTATCTTTTGCCGTAACGATAAATAAATCACAGGGGCAAACATTTAAATATGTAGGATTAGATTTACGGCAAGACTGTTTTTCGCACGGCCAACTATATGTCGCGTTGTCAAGATCAGGTTGCGGAAACAATCAATATATTCTTCTGCCACAAGAAAATAAAACGAAAAATATAATTTACTCAGAAGTACTTTAAAATAATATTTTAACCCGGTTTAAAGTAGACGGACACTCCCGCCTGTAGTCGTAATTCTTATGTGTCTGGCTGAATGTCGAACAGACAGACAGCTATTGCCTGCGACTTATACAATTTAACTTAATCTATATTTTTCTTAATATTATAAAGCTAAAAAGGTTGGTTGTTTGTTATGAACGCGGTAATCTCGGGAAATACTGATCTGATATGAAAACTGTTTAAATATTCAATAGTCCATTTATTGAGGGAGGCTATAATATAGGCAATATTTTATCTCGGTATTTCCACGGAAACGAGAAAAACGCGGGTGAAACCGCGGGGCACAGCTAGTATATATATATATATATATATATATATATATATATATATATATATATATATATATATATATATATATATATATATATATATTATAAATTATTAGTTAATATTATTTATATTTAATTGAAACATAGGCCTCCTCTCAGAAATTAGAGGTCTGTGCCCAGAAGTGGGACAGTGAGTTAATATATTTTTCTGCTTTTTTATTTTATAATTCACATTCATATTAAAACTTAACGTCTTGAACTTTTAAAGAACCAGATTAACGATGACGTAATTACCGATATAATTCAGGTATAAAATTAAAAAAGTACAGTCTTCATTATCTTTAATGGAAAAACTTTTTTCGGGAGTTTACTTCAAAAATTACGTACCTTATCTAAGATGTTGATAGATGTGAAATGTTTCTGTTTTTGTGTATAGATAAAGTACACTCACATATGAATATTCCATAGCTAAGAACAACATTTTTATTTTTATTCGTTTATTGAACTGAGAAATAAATCACTGTGTCGCTGCGCTGGATTGGCGGATTCATCTGAAAATATTAAAAAAAAATTTATAATATAATAGTGATAAACGCATACAATCCACCTGATGGTAAATGGATGCTGAGGCTCATAGGCACCTATATCTACCTTTGATTAAGAATCAAAATGCGTTGATTCTTAATAATGCGTTGTCCTGAGGAATAAGATGCAATGCGTCATTACCAGAAAAAAAGGTTTCAGATTTTCTACAATCATCATACGAAACACAGCAGTACTAATTTGTTATTTTGTTCTAGTATTCAATGAAAGCGTGGTCCTTCCACGGTGGAGCCGACCCATTTGTGCTGCTACCATAATATAGCTGCAACGAGGCCCTATCACGTTAAACATGTTTGTACACTAATTAAAGCATAAATACATCGGCTATTAGATATCGAATAGCGATGTTACTTGGCTCGACGTCGACCCCGCCAATACAAAAAGACTACGCGACGCCCCCGGTCACGGTGTCTACTGAGTATATTTCCTCTAAAAGCACCTGAATCAATCACAGAATAAATAATAGTTGCCCTAATCTATATAAATAAAATGATAGAGGTTTGCAGTTGTGCGCGCATCACGAAAAAACTACTGGATAGATATCAATTAGGTTTTCTAAGTTTTATTTTTTAGATACTTGGCCCCTATCTAAAAAAATATTTTTTTTTATAGGATAAGGGTGACAAACGAGCACACAGTCCACCTGATGGTAAGTGGTTGCTGCGGCCCATAGACATCTACATCTATCCTCTGTTACAAATCAAAATGTAGATGCGTTGTCACCCGTGAGGACTAAGATGGAATGCCTCATTTCCAGTAAAAAGGGCCTCCGGCCACCTGTACTCACCAAGCGAAACGCAGAGGTAAACCTCTACTTCACGCTGGTTTTCTGTGAGGTCGTGGTACTACCCCGGTTCGAGCCGGCCCATCCGTGCGACAGCAAAAGCTGCCGCGTGACTCTACCACTGTTAGATATTGTTGATATCTTCATTTAACATAAAGTTATTAAAGTTTTAAGTAATAACGGATTTTTAAGTGATGTGTGTTTCCTTGCCGCGGGGAAGTGGGGCAAGCGGTGTAGTGTAGTCCTTGTTAATATATCAAGTAACATGGACGGAATCGCAGGTATCAGCTAGGGATTTAATAAAAATTTAGATACTTATATTATAATAAAAAGCATCGCAGGATGTGGAACTCAAAAAATCATTCTTTTTTTTTTAAATATTTAATAAAGATACTTAAGATTTCTTCCTAGATAGCAACTGACAATAATAGAGAACAGCGATTGCTAACCCATCTGCCAAGCTTGGCCATATCCTGCCTATGAGGCAACCTGTCAATATAATGTAATGTCATTTCATTTTCATAAATTCCAAATTCCACCCAAATGTTACCATTTGTTTCTCGACGAAAATAATTACAGCTTAAATAAAATCAGATACAACTCAAACTAAGTTAATCTCGGAAGCTCGAGGCGACATTGCTGTGGTTTACAAGAAGCTTAATTTATTCATCGCCGTTAAAACATAACTGTACGATCGCGCCTAAGGTGGTTTTATCTTGATTTCGTTAAACTTTTTTGAAATACGTAGTTTGTTATGCCCCAAGAAATTATGCGTTTTCTTATAAACCCTATAAACATGTTCAAATTCAGAATGACTGTGCAAAAAAATTAATTTTGTACATTGTTCTAAGACTGTTTTGCTGCCTAAAGCCGCGTATCCACCAAAAATGTTGACAACATTTATGTTTGCAACTGTTTACAACTCAACAAAAGTTACCAACATTTGTTTCCGATGTTGCCGACAAATGTTTCCAACAAGCGTATTCCTTTGATGTTGCCGCCGTAAAGGGAAACACGGTTCCCGACATTGTTTCAAGTTTTGTTGCCAATACTAGGTAGTTACAGAAACATTTGTCACCAACACGTGTTAGCAACACAACAAAACTTTGGTGGAGACGCGGCTTAACAGCCGTCTTACTGCTGCTAAGCTGTAACATATGCACTTCTTTTTTTTATAGGATAAGGGTGACAAACGAGCTTATAAAAGAGAGTCAGTCCGCCCTCCACCCCCCGTGACCATATTTGCTGCAAAGTGCCCATAACGTCAGGAATTAAAAAAGTTTAAATTAAACTCGTTATAAAATTAGTTTTCTTAATTATTCCAAAGAGAGATAGGTTGAAGAGGTAGTTAGATTTTTTTATAAAACTTAAGTGACACACCAACTTACTGTCTACCTGATGGTAAGTGGCTACTGCATACCACGGTTACCTGCAACCAATTTCACATAAAGAATGCTACAGATGCGTTGTCATATTCTGAGGTTTAAGATGGAATGCTTACAGCCTTTGATTATACCGTCCATACCCTTCAGAGCGGAACACAACACGCACTAATAACAATCCTACTAGCCGTTTTCGGCTACAGCCAGGGCCGGATTATTTATTTATTTATTTATTATTTATTGTGTTATACCTTAATCTAAGGATTACAATGGGCGGACTTAATGGCATATGGCATTCTCTACCAGTCAACCCTGGAGAATTAAACAAGTAAAATTTCAAAAAATGTTAAAATTACTAGACATATATTATATATACCTACTATATTCACACATAAAATATATTCGCATACGTTCTAATATTACATATATAAAAATAATATAAATTATGAAAATATTAAATAATAATATATATAATAAATAATATAATAAATATTGTATATATAATATGTAAAATAACTAAAACTAAAAATAGAAATCGACGATCAAATGCAGTTTTCCTTGAGATAATATTGTCGGACCTGACAATAGGTATTATTATGTTTTAGCGATGCATACTGTCAGCTGATGAAATACTTCATACTTACAAAACAAAACCATCTAGTATCGAGGAGTAGAACTAATAATATGGATACGTTACATCCCTTTATGCTGGCTGCAAAGGGGCCCCGAGAATTACATTACATTACCTAAGGGCCCCGACATGGTTAATCCGGCCCTGGCTACAGCGACCGTTTTTGACTCTTGTATCTAAGTCTTACTGCTCCGCCCGTTAATGTGCTCGCAAGTGACTAGCATAGCTGATCTTAGGGAGAAAAGTGCGAGCACACTTAAGGCACGTGAGAACACCGTCGCAGTAATTATATTGTATGACCGCAGGTGGTCGCGATGCTTGGCGGTAGTAACAGCAAAGAAAATTATACCTACCCAGACGAACTCCAAGACAATAATTTAAAATTAAAAATTTTGTACAGCCGACTTCAATAAAAGTTATTAATAATAACTCAAAAACTATTGGCTTGACCTTGATCATCATAAAAAAAGAATTATCGAAATCGGTCTACACAGTAAAAAGTTATGAGGTAACACACATAAAAAAATACAGTCATATTGAGTACCGTCTCCTTTTAGGAAGTCGGCAGAAAAAGGGATATATAGAGGAATCCATCCTTACATCATTTAATAAAGAACTGTATATGAGCTTACGTGATAGAGCCATGCTGCAGCTACATTAGTAGTATAGTTGTAGCACGAATGGGTCGGCTCGACCGGGGAAGGACCACGCTCTCAAAGAATACCAGCGTAAAATAGCAGCCTAACATTGCTTTGTTTCGTATGGTGAGTGTAGAGAACCGAAGACCCATTTTACTGAAAATTTCTTCATTCTATTTTAGTCCTTATGGGTGACAACGCATCTGCATTTTGATACGTAATTGAGGATAGATTTAGATGTCTATGGGCCACA